CCCTTCTGTTTCTTTGGGGTGGATCACTGAAGGGGCAGCTGTTACTCCCCACAGCTGACTCGAGATGGCCCAGGGTGTTCCTTGTAATGAAGGGGGGAAATGAAAAGACAGAGATGGCAAGGAAAGAAAAAGAGGGAAAGAATAAGAGAGGAATATGAGCAGATAGAAGAGAAATATTAAAAAGTGGGAGTAAAATTGGGCTGTGGGGAGTAGGAACTGAGGGAAGAAATTGAGAAGAAACACTAATTTGCTTAGGGCAAGGATGCTTTGTATTTCCAGAAGTGGCCTTGCAAATATTGGTGGTAGTTCTGAGCCATGGCAGAAGCCCAGCTATAAATGGGAGCTATCAATGAATGGGAGCTGGAAAAAGGATCAGTGTAGTGTAGACATTCATGGGCTCGAATGACCAACTTTCTGCCTCAGTATATGAATGCACTATGAGGCATTCATTTTCTGCCTCAGTGCATTCCTTTTCTGCTTCAGTATATGAATGCACATGACCCCTGCAAACCTGTTGAGGACCTGTGCTGGAGAACTTCTCTGTGAATTGCACCCCATTTTAGTGAACCAGAAAGAGTTATGTTTTCTTCCTCAGGTATCAAAATACCCAGGACTGGCCCTGTATAAAAGATGCTGTCATTCCTTCTTTCATTCCCTTGAAAATATGTTTCTGTCTGTATTCCTTGGCTGTTGTATTCCTTGACACAGCAGATGTCAGTGACTGTCAGCCAGGCTTTCTCCAAGGACTGAAGAAATGTAAAATTCTTTGTTTCAGTGATCTTGTTGTGGCCTTGAAATATATTCTCAGTCTTAGAATTTCCAGATATTTTTGTTGGAAAAAAAATCATCTTCGTCTTTGCTACTTGTAACAATACAAGTAACTTTCTGTGGGTTTCATTTGGGAAGTATGGGGTTGCTGACTCCCCTTCCATGCACACCATAACTGAAAACTGATGAAGATCAGAACCTGGATGAATAAAAGAGCTGAATACTAAATCAGCAGAATCAGAATAGAGAGAAGAATGTCCCAACATCTGGAAGAGAATGCATTTCTAAAATGTGTGGCTCTGTTAAGTGCTGAAAACCTTACTACCAAGATCTCTTATTTTTATAATACCCTATACAAAGTCAGAAAAAATAATAAGAGGGTACAAGCCAAAATGGGGCCACATTAAGAAGCATTTCAGTTAAACTATTTCACAGCTTCAGTCTTTTGGTTTATTAAGCCAAACACCAGCAAGTTTGAGTAGATGTTGACTGAATTATTGGTCTTGGTGAGGAGCTGTCCTCTTTTCCCAGCCAAAGAGGAGTCACTTCAGTAGCACTACCAAAATACATTTCTCAAGGCTTTCTCAGATGTCTCAGCTGATAAGCCTGAGACAAGCAAATTGGAGTCCACTGGAGTCTACAGTTGCATGACAATGTCTCTGCAGGTTCGAGAAAGTCTTTGAAATCCATCAAGCAGCAAACACAGCAAAAGACAGCTGTGAAAGCAGAGATGTGAGTACAGGGAAGACAGAGTTAGGGAGTAACTGCTTGAGCTGACAACACAGTAAGCCAGGAAAGAGAACAGTCTAATTTTGCTTAAAGAAGTACTATGGATGCATCTCTATAGGCTATCCTATCCATTGCACCATAAAATATCATGTGGCCCCTGATGCACAAGTACCACAGTTGCCTGCGAAGAATCATTCTCGTTACATTCCTATCCTGGCTCTTGACAGATGCTCCAGCCAGCATTATCTCCCACATTCCTCACAAGGTAGATTATGTTGGGTTCCCACAGCCATGACAACCTCACCTTCAAACCCAGGAATGCCCATGCTGGTTATATGCAAGTTCAGCAGAGGTAAGCATCAAACAGTGGATTTAGTTACAAGACTGATGCTTGTACCTGGATCTTTTAGAATCCGCACTGAGAGGCTTTTTAATAAAAGGTAAAAAGGCTTATTTACTTACAGACAATCCATATGTGAATTGCATGAAGAAAAGATGTTGGTATGTTCATGCAGAATTTCTTCTTTCATTGTTAGTTGGTTAGCTTAGAGAGGTGGAGAGAGAAACACATGCTTCTCTCATCATGGTTGGGAGGGAAGGATAGAAAGGGGGAAGGAAACTGATCATGTGATCTTTTGTCTTTCCAGGTGAGGTTGGGAGGAGGGAAGGGACAGGAAGGACATGGTTCAAGCAAAGAGGTCAGTCTCATATTGTCCATGGCATTACCCCAATGTCATTGAAGGCAATGTTACAAATGCTTAACAGTTTTCTCTTTACCTTTTACCCTAGTTTATTTACATAGAAAACCATTTATGGTTATGTATAAATGTACGGCTGGGCCATAAGGGGAGTTGTAGGACTTCCTCTGTCTAAACATAACTGTGATTGCACCCCAAATTATTTCATTGCCTGTGCTAAATATGTGAATGAGAGAGCAAATTTCTTTCCTCTTCTGTAGCTTGAGATGTTCAGATTTGCCAAGGCAATGGGTCTTTCAGGAATGCCCAGGCCATCCACCCCCTTCTTGGTTTGATTCTATGCTTCCTCTCCTGTCCACCTCTCTTTGTATCAGTTCCTGTCACATTATTCACATACACAATGGATCCACTAAAGTGGCTGTCACTCATAACTACAGGCCCCTCCCCATTTGCATCAGCGCACATTTCCTCCTCCTCAGAGTGGCATGGATTCTCAATGCACCCATTGTCACACATACAGATTCAGGTTTCACTGTTTTCCTCCATTCTCCATTCTCTGCCAGATTTTAAGTTTTACACAAGTGCTTTTTATTATTTTATCTTCCTTAATATATCTTAATCTCTCCTTTTTGTCATACAGACGTGTTCCTCTTCCTGAAGACATCTCAGATGCCATTAAAACTCCAAAAGGTAGATATTTGGTCTTGCTCAGGTTTAATTTTTCCATAAAAACCATGTCATTCTTATCTTTTCTTAAGCCATCCCTGTCTTTAATCCTTAAATAATCTCCCTTTCCAACATCATATCTAAAACAGTCCCCTAATAAAAGACCTTCTTTCTTGTGCAGAAGCATTTTCTGTACCTGAACTTTGGATATTATTGTCATCATTGTCACCTGCATCTTCAGTATTTATTGAGAGGTAAGAACAACACATGATTAGATTTCCACAGGCAAACCAGGATAGCTGAATTTCATGCTGATTTGCAGATATAGAGGGTCCCAGAACTATGCTGCAGATACAAGCTATAATTTTTAGGGCATTTTCACAGCAGGCTGCAACAAATCCATTACTTTTGAGGAGCTTCATCCAGTCCCAGTTCTTTGATGAGCCCATCAGTGTATGACACAATTCCAAACACCTGTGTATCATTTGAGCACCCAGAATGTGCCTTGTGTTCCAGCACACATACACACACCTAAAAATTCAGATATACCTCAGACCCTCTAAAATTATGTCTGAGCATCATGTACAGCCATGCAGAATGAGCTGTTGGTATCAATAGCCCCAGCAACATGGCTGCCATCATAAGTATGGAACAAGCCTCTATCCTCAGACCCCACTGAGGAATACCAGAAGTTACTACATATCTGGTGCAGTGTCAAATATATGTTGACAAATCTCAGGGACCTCAAGCAGGCATTCTGTGTCTGTTTCCCCAAATAGAAAACCCAAGGATGCAAAACCAGGGCATCCCATTTTTCAGGCACTGGTACTGACACATTTGGGTTGTCTGCTTATATTTCTGTTCTCAGACCATATTTCTACCAATACTCCAAGATGCTCCAAAATGCATTCAGGATGCCACTCAATGCCTGAAGAAATTAGTACCCTGGAAAATATTGTCGATTCCTTTTTCATGGACATCAAGCCTTCAGGAATATTGCTGCTGCTGCTAGAGGCTATCTGGCTGCCAAGCACTGTCAGTGACCATTAGAATTACTCAGGGGGAACATGCATATTCCGGTCACCATATGGTGATTTTTTTCAGGGCTGAAATATGTTTGTTGCTGAAATCAGTATGAGCAAAGAAATGAACACTACAGAAGGAGTGTTGATAACATTTGATCACAAAAACAGACCCAAAGGCCAAAATATACATATATATGCTCTAAGTAAAAGAGCATCCAAAATAACTACATCAGCCACTGAAAGTTTTTGCTGAAGACATAAATTAAGTGTGTTTTCCTTTTTCCAGCAGATTAGAATCTGTTATGGTGGAACTTTTCAGAATTAGAATCCCAACAAGCACATATCAAGCACTTAGCAAGGCTCATGGGTAGGAAAAGCATAATAGAAGCACAAGCTACTGAGAGCCATCTTTTTCTAGTAACCAGTAAGCATATCTTTGAATTTTTGCATACATGGGATGCTTAGAAAGTTGGAACTCACTAGGAAGGGGATCAGGAAGGCACCCGAGGAAGCCCTCCTAGGTTGTCTACAGGTGGAGGAATTAAGAGACCCAGATTGTAGGCAGTGGGATGGAGAACTGCACAGAAGGCTCACCTGCTTCATGCGTAGTTGCTTTCTTCAGACTAGCAAATCCATAGAGCCTAGTTAGGGTAAATACATGTACAGTTTGAAAAGTGGCCTTTAAATTTACATCTGGCAGAGCTTTCCACCACAAAATATTTTTGGAAGTTATTCCTGTATATGTTCTGCCATACATGGGTGAGGAGATGATTTGCCCCTGGAAGATGCACCTGAGAAAAGAAAAAGTATGTAATACCTTTTGGGAAGGATGCCATTTTCTTATGTAAAATCATGTACTTATTCCACCTTTTAAATCTGATACTGCAGAACCAAAGTCGCAATCCCTGGCACCGGTCCCAGCTGGTCCCCAGCCTTTCATATAAAGTTGGTCTCTTCCACACTAGGCTGGGGAAAACTCTAACAGAGAAGGGGTGTGTGTGTGTGCATAAGAGAGGGAGAGAGAGAGGGAGGGAGGGCGGAGAGAGAGAGAGAAGGGGCATACTCTATTCCTAAAATGATGAGTCAACCATGTATGAAAAGTCTGCTATTTCTCATGGCCATCAGGTGCCTTTGCTCCAGCCAGTCCTTAGCTCCCCCACTGCGTTTCTCTGCATTTTTGGACCCCTTGCACAAGATCTACCTCCGATGGGACCATGATGATGAAAATGCCATGGTAACTTTTGAGCTTCAAGTTCAGTCAACTGGATGGGTGGCCTTTGGCTTCACCATTGATAAAGAGATGACTGGGGCAGACCTTGTGATTGGGGGAGTCCTTCCTGATGGCACCACCTATTTCTCGGTAAGCTAGACTGTTTCTTCCATTTCCTGAAGCACTAGGCTTGGCACATGGTGTGACAGGAAGGGGGAATGTTTCCTTTTGTTTTAAGTCTCAGATGAATTTGGAGGTGGCTGCTTTACATGAGCAACAGGAGTTAAGCCTTTGGGGACATTGCAGTCCCTCTTGTGTGCACCAAGGAACATCATCTCAGCATACAGTTGAGTGCTCACATCATCATCATGATGAAAGAAGTGGCTGGATGAGAAGTAATAGGAGCGGAAGGACGTTTCCTGTCTTAACATGCATGGGATTGTCCTCCAAACCTCTTTTAAAACTATCTTATCTATGGAGTGAACAACATATCTTGTGCTGGATGGTTCCATAAATTATGTGCCATAATAATAATAATAATAATAATAATAATAATAATAATAATAATACTTCTTTCTGTCTGTGTCCTGGTCCTGCATCTTCTGTCAATCAGTTTCTTTGGAGGACAACAAATGCTAATTTCATGTGAGAGGAAAAAAACTGATTTTTCTCCATTTTTTCCATACCACAAATACTTTGACAAACTTCTATCTTGTCCAGCCCTCACACTCCCAGGCCAACTTTTCTCTAAAATAAACAACCCCACACTCTTTAGCTTACCCTGAAGAAACAATGCTTCAACACCCACACTCCAATTTTCCCTCTTGCCTTTCCCAGTCCTTCTGATATCCTGATTAGGACAGCCTGACTAGAACTGTGCACAATATTCCAAATGCAGCTACGCAATAGCTTTGTATGAGGGCATGAGAAGAATATTCTGTACGTGGAAATTTGGGGGCAAGAGAAGTTAAAAGAGAAATAGTATTTTGTGGGCTGTAAGCTTGCTTTCCAGTGCTGCATCATCACTCCATACATGTAGGCTCAATTTTTGCAGTACAGTCCGCATAGGGCCACCCTTGTGCCTCTTCCAGGAACTGCAACTAGTATAAAATACGGCAGCCAGGTTGGTCTCTGGGACATCATGAAGAGACCAATATTAGAGTCTCTGAACTGGCTGCCAATGCGTTTCTGGGCACAGTACAAGGTGTTGGTAATTAGCTTTAAAACCCTTCATGGTTTGGGTCCAAAATACCTTCAGGAGTGTTTTTGCCCACATGTTCCACTTCACCTGCTAAGGTCCTGTGGGAGTAACCTTCTGAAATTTGCTTCTGCAAGATTAATGCCAATTATTCAGGGGACATTTTCAGTGATTGCCCCTTAATTGTGGGATGGCCTGCCAAGAGAGACGCATTAGACATCCCAGATGGTTACTTTCAGGAAATAGTTCAAGATGTATTTCTTCCAATAGGCTTTCCCAGATTAGTTCTCAGTTTAGTTTTATTTAACTTGTTTTATCTGTTTGTTTTTAGTCTAAATTTGAATTGTTGTTGGTCTAGATATCTTGTAAACTGCCCAGAGCCTATGAGAATGAGGCAATATATTAAAAAGCCAATAATAAAATACTACTAAAAATAAATAACCACTTGATTTAATCACCTTAATGACTGGCAGTAATTGTGCCACTATTCCGGCTTTTCTTTCTTGATGGATTTTCTACATAAGGGAAAAGATGGGGGAAGAAAAGGAAAAACATGGGAAGGTTACAAGCTGAAAATGACATGGTCTAGAGCCCCATGAAATTCCCTGAAAGAGGCAGGCACATGGTGTCATACAAAACTTGTCTAGAAGGATCCTAACAACTGAACTTAGATAACAATGGAAGCCACTGTTCTTTTGCTCACCTGCCCCACTCCTGCAGTGGGCACATTCGGGAGGTAAATGGTGTGAGTGGGCAAAATAAACCCTTCCTTTTCAGTGCAGAGTGGTTCCACTCCAAAGAAAGAAACCATCACCTTCCTACATGCTACATTATTAGTATAATGTGTGGTTTGGCTCCCACTGTGCTCAGTGGGGCATATTCTCAGGTAAGTGCGCCTAGGATTGTTGTTTCAACCAATTCAGAGGTGTGAAATCCCACATTTGCTCACTGCTCTGTAAGTCTAGGAGGAAAAAGTTTTGGAAACATTACAGCAAATCCTCATCTACAGACTAGAGCTTGTTGCTAAGCAGAGATTTGAATCCAGCTCTCCCTGATGAGGCCCTCCACTCTCTCTGCCATGCAACACACTGGCTCTTTTGACTGCCCAAACCCCCTCTGTTTCACTCAGGACTGGCATGCCGTGGATGAGGAAACCATCTTGGAGGATGAAAGGCAAGACTACGAGTTGCTGTCATTGAGCCAGGATGCAACTTCCACCACGCTGGCATTCAGGCGACATTTTCGGACGTGTGATGAACATGACCAGGACATCACGGTAATTAAGGACGATTGCCTCACACATGAGCACGGATGTGGTACAACCGACGTTAAGAATCATAGCCCAACAGAGTCCAGCAGACTTCAGCGTGAATTGCGGTTTGGCACTTTCAAAAGCCTCATTTCTTACAGGGGGGAGAGTCTGAAGGGTATGCTTTGTTCCTCCCCTGAAATGACTGAGCATTCAAATGCATGCTTGCTGTCCAGGTTTTAGGTCGACACAGCTCCCAAACTGGCTCACAATTAGCATGTAATACAAAATAGCTATTAAATAGAATACAATAGAAACTAGTAGTATTAAATAGTATACAAAAGAAACTAGTAGTATTAAACTTCATTTTATTTTATTTTATTTTATTAATAAGCTACAAAACAATAGAAGCGTAAAATACATAATAAAATCAGCCTTTTTAGCTATAATTGCTACACCTCTAGATTTTGAATTTCCATATGCTGTTTCATAAATCTCATACCATGAGCATCTTAACTCATTAACTCCTCTTTATGAGTTTCTTGCAGAAATACAATATGAGCTCTATCCTTATTTAACATTGCTTCAATACTTTTTCTTTTAATTATATTCCCCAGACCTTTAACATTAAGATACTACTCTCATTATTTTAGCCATGAGCCTTTAACTTAACATAGCCTTGTAGTCCCTTATGCTGTGCACCTCCCACCATCCTTACAAAATGAAAATAGGGAAAACATACTACCAAAACCAAACAAACAAATGACATATACCCTTTCTTGTAAAACCCCATCACTTCCTCCCATACACTTATCTAAGCTATTCTCCTTCTTCCCCCTGGGAAATCCCCTGGGTACTACCTTACCCCAAAGCTGAAGTGGGGATGGGAAGAAACTCCTGGCCATCCCAACCACCAATGCCCCCCTCCTCTCTCCCCTTGCCTTTGTCCCGTTAGTTATCTTAAGTACTACTCAGAGTTACTTAATATTCCACTATTTCTTACTTCTATCCCCTTTATAAAAATTGTTCTTATATACAGATTATTCTTTATGTACTGTTCCATCTACCCTACTTTTTCTACCTCTCATATTACCATTACATCTACTGAATATATTTCAATAGTCTTCTCTGTAGTACAGAGTAGCTATCTAACCTTTACCTTTATTATTTAATTCATTCAATATCTCATACTTTGATGATTAGACTCATTCAAAATACAATGCTATAAACCTTATATTATTTAGTTAATCTTTACTATTTTTACAAATTTATCTCATAAATCTTATAACAGGTACAAATCTCTTCTACAATTTTACTAACACTGAACTTTACCCTTTCCATATCAGTCCAAAATTCTTATACTTTCCTTCTTCTGCTTGTTTCTTCTTCTCCATTTGTTCTTCATCAATCAAGTTGAGGTCTAATATCAGGCACTTCTGGGAAAATGGCTGGGCAGCAGCACCTGGTGCTCCATACCTTATCTCATTTAGACATTTATAAACCATCTTTGAGAGTGTTTTTACCTCTCTAAATGACAGGAGGGCTTGAAGACTCTTGATCCATAGTTCTGATTACGGCAAGATGGCTCAAGTAAACTGAAACATTCTTAAGGCGTTTTTATTTATGTATTTGGAAAGGACTCTGAAATGGACAGTTTCTTGGTGTTGTATCTGCATTTTAATTAGACCTTAGCAGCTATAAAGTTGTCTGATCTCTTTGCTTAAGAAATGAAGAATTATGGCTACTATTCCAGATGATACCAATTGCTATACCAGGAAAAACTCTGCAAGAGTGGCAAAGACAATGAAATACCTTTATTTGGAATGGCAAAAAGCTGATTAGAATTAAAATCCTTCAGGATGAGAAGGAGAGAGGAGGACTTGCCTTACCTAATTTAAAGCTATACTACTACACAGCTGGCCTGTTTTGAATTGCAGATTGGATTATAAATGCTAGTGATAGTCTAGTGAAATAGCAGATCTTGAAGATGGAATATATAACCTCTCATGGGTTAAAGAGTTAAAAAGGCTTTGATATCAAATATTAATCATACATTAAGATATGACTTAATAAAAATGTGGTATTCCGTGAGGAAAAAAATAGTCCTCCAATCTCTCCTCTGATGTTCCCAATCGAAGCATACAGAAAATACGGAAAAATAATGATTTTATCATCTATGGGGATATGATTGACGAACAAGGAGGAGTTAAATCTTGGCAACAACTACGAGATGAAGGAAAATAATATACAATGGTTTGTTTATCACCAACTGGTTTCAAGATTGAAAGGAGAAATACAATCAGGGAAAGGTACTGTAAGAGATTTGACAGGTTTTGAAAAGTTGATTACACAACAAAATGATCATTTAATAGGAAGACTGTCTAAGCTGCAGTTGGGACAACAGCTAGGTGGAGCACTTTTAAAAGTATATGCTTCTCAGGTAAATAACCATGTCATCAAATCAAGAGATCACCACCTTCTGCTTCCCTTCTGAGTCTTATCAGTACCACAGTCTCTATGTTCTTAGCACATTCAGGTATTTAAGTGAAGTTGTTTTTATTAAGCTTCAATTATTAGGCAACAGTAAAAGGCCATAAAACTCCTTTTAAGTTTCATGTCACAGAGTTCTGGCATTTGTCCTGGAAAAGGTGGGGGAGGGAGAGAGGAATCCTTCCTCAGAGATTTTTAAAGCTTAATTTGTCAGAGTCCATAAATCAGTGCCCCAATATTCTGGTCTTTTCAAAAGGCAGAAACCTTCCCCTTTACTTCGTATTCAAGATCATGCTATTTATCCAAGTAGATCTATCCAATTAGACAGGCATTTGGAGAGAGAGGTGAAAGTTAGTGGCCTAATCATCACCATGACCAGAAGCTTCCTCCAGTATTAAACTTCTGGATAGCAAATATCTGAGCACACTTCCGAGTCACTGCAAGGCAGAGGTCTTATTGGTGGTGGCCACTCATAGTGGAATGCTCCCAGATCATGTAATGCTCTTTCTTCCCAGAGAGGCTCATCTGATGCCTAAGTTAATACCCTTGGATGACTTTCTATTCTCCCATACTTTTAGATAATGTTTAAACCCTTTTACTATTTCCACGTATTTATCTCTGCTTTTTGTTTTATTATTTATTGTTAGGTTTTGCCCTATCAGGTATTTTAGCACTCTAAATTTGGCTTTGATGGATTTGTTTCTTGGATTTTAGTTCTGTAATTGGATTTATCTATTTACTTTTGAAAGTGTTTTTATCTGCTTGAAATTTAAACCTTAAATGGTAAATGGTATGTTACTCCAGCAATGGTACCCCGGTAAGGCAACAAAATAATCAATAATATTGGAAGAGGTGAAAAACCAGTTCCAAAACATTTTGTGGTGGATTATGTCCCCTTCAGGCATGCATTTATTTCCCTCACCACTTGCTTTCCAGTGCCAGATTAAAAATTAAAAGGCTCATGGGACACCTATTAAAGACAATTTAGAAGCTATAGTTAATGGGAGCTAGTGTGGCATAGTGGTTAGAGGAGATCTGGTTTTAGTCCCCACTCAGCCATGAATCTGACCGGGTGATTTTGGGTCAGTCACAGTCACTCACCCTAAATATCCTCTTAGGATATTTATTTATTTAATGTGTGTGCCACTACATTAAATTTGGGCTCTTTGCATGGTTCACAATATCAAAACAACACAACATTCTAAAATTAATAAAATTAAATCAACATATTCAAAACATATCAACACATAATCCAAATATAAAAGGTGATATATAACAATTAAAATATAATATAAAACATATAATTTAAACTAAAATTTGTGAAGATAAAATGGAGAGGAGAACAATCATGTAGGCTCCCTTGTGTTACTTGCAAGTGTTCCTTGCATTTGGGATACAAATATAATAAATAATCAGAATTCTGGTTACTGTATGTTGCATTGTCTACTTGCTGGGATCACTTCTCATCCACTGGCTGCCCAGATACAGCTGAGCCTGTCATAACTGCTGGCACTTTCTTTTAAAGCAGCCTGGGCTGCAGGTGCTTGGGAAAGGGCCTACTTCCACAATGACCTGCCCATGCCCATGGGTCATCTCCTTGCCATGTACTTCTCTTGTCAGAAATGGTGGGTAGCAACAAGAGAGGACAATTTAGCTGTGGCAACCCAACTGGCAAGACTTGCCTGGCATCAATTTTGCTTTTAGGCATCAGTCCAAAAACTTTTTACACATTCAGGTATTCTACATGAAACATACAGCCAGTTATTCATGGGTTCTGTCATGATCCTCCACTTTTGTGTCTGTTTTTTAAGAGAACCCCCTTTTTTAAGAGCAGGAAGTGAAAGAAAAGTGAAACTGGAAGAAAAGCTAGTTGTCTACTTGTATATTTGCACTGTTCTACTAGAGCATAGTGCCACCTAGAGATTATGTTGTAGAAAAGCAGGAAAGACAAGGCCGTAGAGTTCAGATCTAAATTCTGCCACAAAACTGAAAATTGGTCCAATGAATAATCACCTCATCTAGAAAAAATCTCAGTCCTTTAAAATACACTGTGCGTCCTTGACTGCTCTTTTATCTGATGGATCTTCTTTTATTTATGGTTCAATATATTTATATGTTTCTGTTTCAACTATTTTGATGGAGAGGGGTATAGAAATATTTTGCAGAAAATAAATACATCTATAACTAAAGTGGGTTTCTAGCACTGAAGCGAGGGGAATGAGTATAGAACTGATGGCTTTGAGACCCCATCCTTGCAGGAAAGTGCCCCCAGGCTGCCCCTGCACCTATTGTGTAAATGCTGGTGCTTCCTTTTAAAACACATGTGCCCTTCCCTCTGCTGCTTAAGAGTGGCCCAGCAGCATACGGTGTCACACAGATGATCTTCCCAAGCAGGAGCCAGAGAGAGTAATGGTGCTGAGTGAAGGAGGCATGTATAGTTCGCTTCCTTCAGGCAGCACAAGATGCCAATGATTTCTCTCCCAAAATAGTCATGCACACTTTAGGTGTGGGCAGCATCTGGATTCTCACTTCCTTTCTAAAGAGATTGTTGGGGGAAGAGATTTTTCTGACAACTGTCATGCATGGCTTGTTGTCCCAGTTTTTTTTCTGAAGCACCAAAAGGGTCAAGATTAATTTCAGTCATCATGAGATAGAATAACTTGTTTCATATTAGCCAGTGTATTGTATTCATTACAGCCATTGCTCCTTGGGGGCTCTGAGAAGCATAAAAAAGAGATATAAATATAATTGAAATACCTGAGTTGCAGAGGAATGGATCTAAGGAATATAAAGTGGGTTGGAAAATTAGTTTCAAGCTGTTATATTAAATAGCAGGGTTGCACAGCTAGAAGGGCTTTAAGTGGATGCTTTAGCAAACTGGTCCCCCATGAAAAATTCAGCAAAATTGGCCATTACGTCCACACAGGAGTGTTTCTGCACTAGGCATGTGCTGCAGAATGGCTGTGCTTGACTCTGTCACTTTTTGTGAGACATCTACATCCCATCATCATCAACTCATTGTCCTCTTGTGTTTTCCTGGGATTCTTCTGCCTTTTTATTTTAGGTCAATCTAACTTTTGGAAAGAATCTCTGCAGGCACAGATCTCCTTAGCCACACGTATCTTTTTTCCATGTGCACATATTGAGCCTTTCAGCTGTAATATGAATCTATAGTTCAGTATGCTTTTGCTGCTACCTTTCTTCAAACAGGTTCCATTTCAGCTGTATACTCCACATCCAACTTTTATACTTTTTTATTAAAAAGATCATTCAATAGTATTTAGTTTTTAAATCTTACTGCATAAAAATGACTTGTTTTAAACAAATGTGCTGCCCTCTCAGCATTTTCGGACAGAGCCATTCCATCATGGTGGCAGGGAAGCTGCAGAATCATAGAATGGTAGAGTTGGAAGGGGCCAGGCCTTTGGACCCGACTCCCTGCTCAGTGCAGGGCACCACGTTAAACCATTCCTCTCAGATGGCTGTACAGTTGCACTCTGAATGCCTCCGGGAGAGCCCATGCCCCCCCTAGGTCATTGTCTCCATTGTTGTATTGCTCTGACAGTGTGGATGTTTTTCCTGAGGTCCATCAGGAATCTGCTTTCCTGTAACTTGAGCCCATTATTCCATGTTCTGCACTCTGGGATGATCTAGAAGAGAACTTGTCTTTCCTCTTTGTGACAGCCTTTCAAGTACTTGTACAGTGCTATCATCATTCTCCGTAATCTTTTTTTCCCTCAGTGCTAAATATGCCCAGATCTTTCAATCTTTCCCGACAGGGCTTTTGTTTCCAGTCCTCTGCTCATCCTTGTTGCCCTTCTCTGAGCCTTTTCCAGCTTGTCAGCACCTTTCATAAACTGTGGTGCCAGAACTGAGTGAAATAGTGGAGAACTAGTACTTCACATGATTTGGAAATGATACTTCTATTAATGGAGCCCAAAGTAGCATGTGCCCTTTTTGTAGCCATGTCATACAGCTCAGTCATATTTGGCTCACGATCTGCAACAGTTCCAAGGTTCTTTTCACTTATATTATTGATGTGCCAACCCAGTATGTTTCTCTTCTCCCTACCACCACCATCACTCCTGCTATTTTTACCTGTATGGAAATAATCGTACAATAGCACTGAAATTTAAAGTGTTTTAGAGCAAAATGTTTACTTGGTTGTTTGAAAAACTGATCCAAAAGTTGTTTTACAATGGCATACTGAGAAAATTCCCCCTCCTTGGCCACACCCACTGTGAGTATTGTGAGCGCATCTGCATTTCAGAAACTTTTCATTGAATGCTGAGGCACAGCAAGCACAGAGAATTTTAAGTTGCATTCACAAATTGGCCCGGAAGTTGCCTATATTGAACATCATTGTTTCAAGTAAGGATACTCTTATCTGTCGTGAAAGACATACATACAACAATACCTGCTGCACCAACCCAAGTTGTAACTGTTTGTCATATTCATATCCCACGTTTTCCTCTAAAAATCCCAAGGCAGAGTACATAATCAGTTTTTTTCCTCTTCCCTTTTCTCTTTCCTTTTGTCCTCAGAGCAATCTTGTGAGGTAGGTTAGACTGAGAGTTCGTGCCTGGCTCAAAGTCACCAGTGTGGACTTGAACCCATGTATCTTTAGTCTCCTTCCAACATTCTGACCACTGTACTGTACTGGCTCTTCATATTTGGGATTATAATCTTCATTTCTTGGATCCTCTTTTGGAGACTATCCACTCTTTCAGCAAACCCCCTATTCCTATCTATCTATTAAAATTATATTCTGCCTTTTTTCTTTTTTAAAGAACTCAAAGTGGCTTACATCATTCTCAACAACCCTGTGAGGGAGGTTGGGCTGAGAGTCTGTGACTGACCCAAAATCACCCAGTTGGCTCTATTGTTGAATGGGGACTAAAACCCAGATCGCCTGAGTCTTAATCACTTCACTGCACTGGCTTTCTAACTATTATACATGTCTCTACCTGGGTCTGGGGTCTCTACCTGAAAATATGGCCACCTACGAATCCCTACCCATTATGTACAGATTGTGACAAGGATAAATTTCTAAATGTCTTTGACTTATCTGTGCCTTCCCACAGTCAGAGTCAGAGTGGACCATTTGTTCCTTACCTGAAAGTGTAACAAGAATACAGCATGTGCGGGACACAGTTAATTAGTCTATTTAACAATGTTGTTAATGCGACAATGGTAGGATAGAGAATTAGTAGGGATATGTGGTTACTCCAATTAACATCGCTGATCTTAAACCAACATGTGAAAACAAAGAGGTTTTTATCTTCATATTATTTGGGTGTTTTCCTGTGTGTCCAGATAGATGTGACAATGTAATATCACAGTGGACATTTTCTTCTTGACTTTTCCTTGCACAGAATGATACACTACGCGTGGTTTCTGGTTATGGAGCAGATGACACCATTGACTTCTTCACAGGAACTATTATCCACAAGTCGCTTTTCTTAATGCTGCTGTCAACTGAAGATGAGCTGCATACTCCCAGTGTCTATCACGTGTATGATCTCAAGCTAAATGATGTGAGTAGCCCACTACTACCAACAAAGCTGATTTATCTTGTTGGGCATTTCTACTCTGCATTATCAAAAGAACTGGAGTATTTCCTGGTAGATCCAGTCAGTAATCATTCATTCATACTGGTCGTCATGTTATTCACATGGCAGTATTTAACTTTATTTTACTCCTTTTCAACATATCTGTTACTACATTTTCAAGTAAAAAAAAAAAGGCACATGACAAAATTACAAAGGATTTCTAATAAATTATAGTACACTGTGAATTTTAATACTGGTTTCATTCATGCTATTAAGCTCACCTTAAACATTTGATCATGCACAACAAAAACACTTCACCATTCACATTTTTTCAGCAGTTATTTTTTCTTACTTTATTTTTCCTTGCATTTAAATCAATACAAGTATATTACTCTATATTCAGTCACTCGACCCTATGTTTTCCTAACATTGTCTGGGAGGCCATAAGAATATCTGAGGTCCCAGCTCCAAGATCCTGTCATGCTGCAATGTAGGGTAGCTAGTGGTTAAGAAACACAATAAGCCTAGCTTTATATGAAACAGCTTTTCCAAAGGGAAGGATTCTTCTGCATCATTCAAAAAGTGGAGGATGAGCATTAAATCTGTTGCCTTTGCAGAGGATATAAGAATGCAGCCATTTGCTCAAAGGAAATCAGTTAATTCCATGATCATGTTTCCCTGATCAGGATTCCATAGCAGCATGAGGGCAGCGTGCAAGGATATTTTGTAGTCTTGTCCTTTTTTAGGGGGGGAGGCGGGGAGTGGATTTAATGCAAACTTAATTTAACTAGTGGGTTCACGGAATATTTGTGGGGGACTTCTTATAGTTGTCTTACAGTCCAAATGAAGTACCCACTTCATTTTAGAGGGAATGATGCTAAATTGACCCAGATCTGACACCCCTTCAGCTTCAATGCAGTACTCCAGTCAAGCAGCCTCACTTAATTTCATGGCAGGGCTGGCCTTCTTCACAAATACACAGCAGGAAGAGGATTCAGAGGTTGTGGCCCCTCCTGTCACTGAAAATGTCTTACTAAGGGAAGCCATGGGCAGGGAAACTCTCTCCCAGGGTGATTCATGATGTAAAGACTTCCTTGGGGCCAGGGTTTGGCTACCCTACAATGCCTCCTGTGTGCTTTGCTTTTCAGTTCCCCATCCCAGTCGATGAGACCACCTATACCTGCACTTTCATCCCCCTGCCCATAGTCAAGACGAAACATCATATCTACAAGGTAACTGTGGAGAGGATGCAGGAGGTGTGGCACTGACACTCTCAAGGCCTCACAGCAGGTTGACTGGAGGGAGGACAATGGGCCCAATGGCCAAAGCATCCCTTGCACAGGGAGCTACCTCAGCATTGATAAACCATCCATTCCAACTGGGGGGAAAATGGCATCAGCTCAGGCTGACTCCAAGAGAAGCAACCCAGGCCTCATCTAAATGGTCAGCCCTGCTTCATTGCTCCTGGCTCTCTGTCTCTTTTAAAGCCCTGCCTTGCAGACATATAGGCAGACAGGTACTTTTGCAAGCTATTATGGGTCTAGAACTAAAGAGTTTGCCTTAATGATGGGAAGGAAGACTCTTGCTGGGCTGTCTATGAAGTGGCTTAGCACAGAGAGCAGGACACCTGTGGTACATCCAGACGCTTGAGGAGTGGCCTAATGATGGTATCCACTGTAGTTCAAGTACTTTGCTTACAGTGCACCATAGGCTGAGTTGTTATTCTTATAATTATTTGAACAGTCGTCCTGTCCAAGCCACAAAACAGGAAGTCCCTGTTTTGAATCTTGTGTCCGCCATAAACTCCTAAGACCGCCTTCAGAGCCAGCTCTGAGGTTTTGAGGGTGCTTCTTAAGGGGCTCTTCTGGGCCCACCCCGACATGGGCATTGTATGGGGCTGTAGCAGGTGCTTCAGTGCCTGTAGTTGCAGTTGCCCTCCTTATTTCCCAAAACGCAAAGCACTAGACACCCTACTTCCAGTGCATGGTGGGTAGCTCTCAGATACAGGAGTTTCCCAGCCTTGCCTGCAGAGGCCAGGGACTGGATCAGGGCCCTTCTACTGGCCCAGGACAATCATTCTGCCTCTCAGAAAGCAGCGCTACTCAGTCAGATTCCTTCCGGTGTCTTTTCTGTCCATAGTTTGAGCCTATGATCACACCCCGGAATATCACTGTGGTGCACCACATCCTAGTTTACGCCTGTGGCAATGGAAGCGTCCTGCCTCAAGGCATCAGTGACTGCTATGGAGCGGATCCTGATTTTGCCCTGTGCTCCCAAGTTCTTGTGGGCTGGGCTGTTGGAGGAAGGGTGAGTATGTGGAATTTTCCAGATCAGGAGAACCACTTCCTCTCCATGTTCAGACCATCCAGCAGAAGCCTCTTTAGGAGAACCGTGCGTTTGTCACGTTCCAAGATTTTATTTCATAGTAATTTCTGCAGGTGAGCAAGGTCAGAGTAAAAAGGACCAATCATTCTAAACGCACTTCTTGTCCTGGGCACATCTCAGTCTCCCAAGGCACAATTCACTGTGCCGTTTCCTTAATTAATTAATTAATAAAAAAAACATTTGTAAGCTGCCCAATTGTGCCATCGCACCTCTGGGCAGCTCACAATTACAAGCTAAAAACACAATAAAAACACATTAAGAACCAATTACACATTAAAATAAAACACAAAAAGCACAAGCAGAAAATACAAAACAAAGGTTTCCTTAGGCATCTCTGCCTCACATGCCTCCTCAGAATTAAGTGTAATTGAATCCAGTGAGGCTTGCTCCCAGGTCTTTATCATTACATTGCTTTATCCCACCTTTTCCTCTTGTGAGGAGCCCAAAGTGATAAGGTAAGCTCCATCTTATCCTCACAGCAAAAATCCTGGCAGGTAGGTTGGGATGAGAATAAGTTCCTGACCCAAATCCCTCCATGAGCTTCATGACCAAGTGGGACTAGAACTCAGAGCTCTCAGTCCCGGAGGTCCTCCGTCCAACACTCAAACCCCCATGCCACACAGGTCCTCATATAAGTGAATGAATTTAAAATATAACTCAGTTCTGTATGGCCTCAGAATCTGGTGATGCCTCCATGCTTATTTTCAAACTGCAATCTTTCTTATCTCTTTTACCCACCCCCCTCCTTCAATTAGTCCTACATGTTCCCAGATGAAACAGGGATCTCCATTGGTACACCACGGGACCCCCAGTGGATCCGGCTGGAAATCCACTACAGCAATTTTGACTTAATTCCAGGTAAGATGAACCTATGGGTGAACTGGATGAGAAAAATAGTGAAGCAGAAGAAGAGCAGGGAGCAGGAGCATGGGGGGAGGTGTGAGGCTCTGGAAACAGCCTAGGGGTTCAGCAAAGCCCAGTAATAAGAAGGGGGGGAATTGAGAGAATACATTGTAGATCAAGCTTGAGGATGCTTATTTCACTGTATTGTAAGGGGTGTTGAGAGAAAGAAAGACTGAAAGAGAATGACTCTACATGGGCTACAGATCATGTGAGAAAGCCTGTACAGGAAACCAGGTGTCACTTGGGAAACACTTGCTTTTCTGTGGTACATGCATCCTCAGGATCACAAGGCCTTGTTTTCTGTGGGTATTTCCTGTACAAAGGATGGAGAAGCCAATGAATGACCACAGCCATTGATGACAGGATGAGTGAGAACTGCAGGTCTGAGGGCCTGGAAGAGGAGGGCAGAATGCAGAGCCAAGGAGCTAAATCCACTCCCTCGCCCCGCCCCAGCCTTCCAATCTGGCCCTTTGAGGTTTCCCCAAATGGCCAAGCACTCTAACCCATTTCCTCAACTAGAAAACATTCAGTGGTTTCCCAGCTTTTGAGGAGGTTTGCCTCCATTCTTAAACGCTGAATGGGGCAGGAAGTACTCTAAGCTACAAAATGCTGGGATTTTTGTTCTCACCTGTTTCATCTTTGGCCCTACTTGCAACCTGAGGGAGCTTCTCCAAAACAGAATTTGGACCACAGGCTGAAAGAGATCCTACACTCCTAACTTAAAATGTGTAGACTCTCACGTCTTGGCTTGGTAGTCATTCTTGGTCTCTCCAGAACAGAAGCATCAATTGCCTGGAGGAAATAATGGAGAAATCCAGAATTTTAGTGTAGCTGAGGCTGGGCCCAGAAGACATGGGCAATGGGCATATCATGGGTGCAGCCAGTGGGAGCAGGTGTGCTGGTCCCACATTCGTTCTCTGAATTGCTGATGGAGGAATAGCCATTATATTGACATTAAGTCACTCCATCCATGCCCACCGTTATTTGAATTATGTGTAAGCACTTGCCCTATAAAGAAGAATTATCACAGGAATGAGATTGCTTGGTTTTCAGATTTGTTCAGGATGAAGGCCAGGGGAGGTAGCAGCCAGTCACTTCAGCGAGAACATGATAATTATCTTTGCAGACCAGTTCTCTCTGGAAGCTTGATGGGGAGTGCATAAAAGATTCCCATGTTGGTTGTGCCAGATATTTGCTATTCAGAAGTATATTGCATGTACCAGTTAATTAATATTGTGTATATATAAATCATAAACATTGGAAGCCCCCTGATTTTTCACACAAGAGGTAAAATAACCTCTGACTATCCTATTTTCATGGAAACTTCTGCAGACCCAGCAGCTCAACTTACTGTTTTCTTTTCTAAGACTTAATTGACAACTCAGGGATACGACTCTACTATACCCCAGAGCTGCGTCCTTATGACATGGGGGTGCTGCAGACGGGAATCTTCACCTTTCCAATCCATTTCATCCCCCCCGAAGCAGATTCTTTCAGGTCCTATGGCATCTGCAACACCAGTCTTTTTGAAGAGGTAAGATCTTCAATGCTGAGTGTCTCTTCCTTCACCTCAGTGAAAACACCTGGCTTTTATATTGCACTGTCGAGAATTGAGGGCCGTGCTTTGCACGCATCGTCTTCTTACCTTCCTTATAAAAGCCCTGGGATGGGGAGCTCACAATTAGGGCCCAGCTGTGCATTCCAGTGTGAGCTAGTGTGGTGTGGTGATTAAGAGCTCAGGTCTGGGACTCAGAGGATCTGGGTTCTAGTCCCCGCTCAGCCACGCACCCAAGTGGTTGACTTTGGGCCAGTCACAGATTTTCAGCCCAACCTACCTCATAGGGTTGTTGTGAGGCTGAGAGCAGCAAGAGGTGAATGATGTAAGCCACTTTGAGTTTGCTATAAGAAAAAAAAATGGGATATAAATCTAATAAATAAATAAATAAAATTCCATGTGGCAGGAGAATCTTAATTCTCTCCCAACATAGTGTCCATGAGAGGCTGTTGGCCTGCATACAGGAACAGCAGAAAGAGGGGATGCCCAGCTCTTTTTCATTCACCTGCTCAAAATCACCCTCTTCAAGCTGCTTTTCCTCCCATAGAGCAGGGGGAGGGAACTTTCAGCATGCAGATCCCCCACCGTCCACCACGCACGAATTAGCCCTTTTTAAGCCTCTGTTACTACCAGTGGAGCTGTTTTACAAATGTAATTGCCACACTGGGGATGCTTCAGGGGAGGTCAGGGTTGGGCATGGGTGAGCAACTCGCTCTCCTCGCTGTGCTCAGCACTCCTCAAGGGCTGCGTCTGCCCTCCACCAGATGCCTGCACAACAACAAGATGCTTAGACAAAGCCTGACTGTGGTGTGGGGGTTGCAGCTGAGCAGCGATGTCCTCCTCTTTCCCTGTCCTTGGCAAGCCTTGCGAATCACCCTGCACTGCATTGGTGCCAGCAGGAGCAGCCTAGGTGTGGAAGAGGGAAGGGGGAAGGCACCTTAAGGGGAAGAGGGGAAGAGGAAAAAATGAGGGAGAGGTGAGAGGATGGGGTGGGGAGTAAAAAAGTGCAGGACAGCAGGAGAGGCTGGTGCCTCCTTTGTCAGTGGAGCTTTTCACAGAATCATAGAACAGTAGAGTTGGCAGGGGCCATGAAGGCCATCAGGTCCAACCTCTGCTGTTTCAGGACACCAGGTTACACCAGATGGCTTGGACTGGGCTCAGTACCTTGGATAGTTCCTATAAAGTTCAGACTACAAACTGCATTGGATCAGGAACCCCGCTGACATGGGAGTCCCCAGTCATCCATGAGGAAAAGAGGAACAGACTGACTGACTGGATGAACTGAAAGGAAGCATGAGTGTGGAGAATGAATGTGTGAGAGAGTGCGAGCAACCCTGCTCACTCACTCAGGGAGTTAGCACCATCCACTTTGGGATCTAGCCCTGCCTCTTGCTGGCAAGTGAGCCCTGGAAGATCGGTGCCAGTGGAGGCTTCCTTCTGGGTCTAATTCTGGTGGGGGGGGATGTGCCATCAGGACCCCTGCAGGGGAAGAAAAGGTTGAGCTCTCTCAGCCTGCACATTCCAGCCTGAACAAGACTGTCCACTCTCACTCTTTCTTTAGCAGATGTGATGCAAGTGATGTTCCATGTGGCATCTACTTTGGCCCTTATCTTTCTGCAGTTACGGATGAGGATCAGGATGACTTGGCTAATACCGTGTGAGTCAGCCTTGCAGGATGCACATCTTCCTTTTTAGCCACTTGCCCAAGAGCAGCTGATAGTATGCAAACTACCACAGTGGCTCCATTACTAGAACTGCTGTGCCAGAAGGGACTGCAAACATCTAATGATTTCCTGTGCTGCTCACAAGGTCAAATGTTCAGTATGAAAGAGGCAGGATGTGTCGAGGTAGTTTTGCATGTGTGGTGTGATTGCAGCAACAAGTTGGCTGGTTACATCTCACGAAAACAGCAAACAAAAGGGGGCACCAATTTGCCCATCGTAATTTAAGCAGAGAGGGGCACACTTACTTTCTTTCTTTCTTTCTTTCTTTCTTTCTTTCTTTCTTTCTTTCTTTCTTTCCTTCCTTCCTTCCTTCCTTCCTTCCTTCCTTCCTTATTAGAGTTATATCCCACCTTTTTTCTTTTTTAAAGAGCTCAAGGCAGTTTACATCATTGTCCTCCTCCTGCTCCTAATCTTATCCCCACAACAACAACCCTGTGGGGTAGGTTGGGCTGAGAGTGTTTGACTGGCCCAAAGTCATCCATGATGAATCCCGTTGAACAGATTTTATTAATGTAATGTATTAATGGGATATGCTGGGAATTGTAGGGTTTTTGTCTGTCTAAACACACATAGGACGGCACCCTAACAGTAAATAGCAGAGTCGGAGCACTGTGCAACTTTCCATAACAGGAAGGACTGCGGCCAGGTGCCTGACCGGTTTGCTGCCCAGGTGCTACTGATGGGCAAGTCCAAGGCTCACCACTTCCTTTGCTGGTTCTTCTTCACACTGGGCCTGGCCAGGGCAGCCTTGCAGGCAGAGGACAGCCTTTCCAGCAGGACATGTGTCCGCCCCATGCAGGAACCATGCTCGCTCCAAGCACGTTCCCCAAAGGCCATTCACTGTCCTCTTTCTCCGTAGATGAATGGGGCTCCAGTGCCTGATATGCATGTCTTTGGTTACCTGCTGCACACCCACTTGGCTGGAAGGGGAGTGAGAGGTGTCCAGTACCGGTAAGGAAAGCTATTGCATGTTTGCGCCAAATTGTACGTGGCACTTATGAAGCTTCTTCAGTCACACAGGAGGAGGAGGGAGGCTGAGTTTCTGGCTTGAAAAGCAAAGTGACGGCTTTCCCCCTGACTGCCCCCCCCCAACCCCCCGCAGCCTGTCTCCTCGCCTGGCTCCCGCTCAGCACTGAGCTCAGCTACTGAGAAACACAAGCAGCTGCCACACTCATGTTGTTCCTTGCTGCTGCCACATTATGATTTTAGCACCAGATTTTATCTTTTGTACTTTCTTTATTTATCTTTACATTTATTTTTATTAAGATTTTTAAAAATAGTCCAGTTCAGTGATTGATCAATTTTATATCTGTTTTTATCATCAACTTGATTTCTAAGGTTGGTTTTTGTACCATAAACTGTTTTAAATGCATTATGAACTGCATTGTTTTATTTACTTTATTTATTGTTTGTTTGTTAGGAGTATTTCTAGCTCATCCATTATGGTTCGTCTCTGGACAGCTTACAATATAAAACAACCTAATAAATACATCATAATACCACACGACTGAGGATAAAAACATAATTAAAATATTTAAACTTTAAAATAACTTTTAACTGTTGTATAACATGTCGTGAGCTGCCCAGAGTGTTTATGGCTAATGAGGAGGCATACAAATCAAATCACTAAATAGGTAGATAAATAAAATAGCTGGGGAAGGCCAGACATGGCCCAAAGAACTTGACACTCTCAGCCCATGAGCTCTACTTGCTTTTGCAGCTGGTCTCCACCTGCTCTGTCAGGGCCACCAGGGTGATCCTGTCGCATGTTGCAAGCAGCATAAACTGAGGGGCCAGTGGGGAATCTCAGTCTATGGAAATTCTTGCACAGCCAGGTGTATGCAGCTCTCCTACAAGCAGGCACAGGAACCGACAATCGCTTGCTAGACTTCCATTGCCTGAAAAGTGCTTATCTCTACACTGTCCTGCCCCAGCCTGATGTTCTAGACCTCAATTCTCATCTGCAAGGCCAACAGTCAGTTGTAGTCAAAAACATCCTGGGAAGACACCAGGTTGGGGAAGGCTGCTCTTTCTGGCCTGCAGAGAGTGCCATGTGCAGGTTTCAGCTTTCTGAAGAATATGAAGTAAAATTGCTTCTATGATGTGAATATTCTGAATTATCACAGGAAATACTAGAACAGGGTTTTAAATTGGCTGTTAAGACTGTCATTGGTACATGTGGAATAGCTGTTTGATTGTTAACTATTATTATGTATTGTTTTATTTACTGTTGATTTGCATTTGCTTGTTGAATTTTATTGACAGGTTTTTATAGTTGTGTTTGTTCTAAATCTGCTTTTAACTGGATTTTAAATTGTACATTGTTTTAGGCAGGATTTTGTATACCATTCTGAGAACGTTGTCCTAATCGAATGGTATAGAAATGCCTAACAACAAACAAACAAACAAACAAGGACTGGTACCAAATTTATATGATAACAGCCCAATATTGCTTTTTAAAATAGTCCAGCTAGAAATCAGCAAAATTATTGACTGTATTACGGCCTACACAGGCCCTGTTCAACCTTCCAGCAGAGCACATCCCGACAACACCACACACACCCTTCTGCATGCCCATGTGACAGCTAAAGCTGGGGCAAGAGGGCCACACAGACAGTCCTGCTCCCATCGCTACCTGTTCAGTGTCTGCCCTTCCCATGTTGTTGGAGAAAATCTGAAGGGGGATTCTTCTTGAATCTGCCTGAACATGCAGAGAGGCATCCAAGACTGGGGCCCTGATGGAGGAGCTCCAAATCTCACAAAGGCTTCCACTTACCTTCAAGTGACTGTGCATAGAATCCCCCTTCAGCCATCTCAGTTACATGCAGGACCATTGAGGACTGAGTGTTCAGGGATGCAGACACTGTAGGGTGGGGCTTCTGAGCACACCCTTTACCTACCCTGCCCTCTCGGCCCTCATATGAGCATGCAGAATGTCCACACGGGCTTCTGACATCCGTGAAGTACACAAAAGCAGAGGTGACTTCTCAGGGCCTTGATGGAGATCCATACATGGCATCAGGGCTACATTTGATTTGGTGGGTGACAAGATCTGCTATGGCAGGTGCCTCCCTCTCAAGCAGCCATGTTGGTCCACCATGTTGCCGTAACCAAGTATCAGCCTTAATTCTTTTTTTTTTATGATGAAGTTTGCACAATTTTTAATGCACCTGCAGCTCTCTCTCATACACACATAAATGGCATACACGTAACAGACGCACAGAGAGGATTAAGAATGAGACCCACAGTATCAGACCAAATATCTAACTCATCTACCATCCAGTTTCCAATAACAGTCAGCCATATGCCATACATCTCTCTTAATCCTTTTAAAAACCTATCCAAGCTGGTGGCATTACTGTATTTTGAGATGCCAAATTCTATAAGTAACTTACACATTTGAGTAACAAAATACTATAGGTACTTTCTTTCGTTTGTTCTTGATCTCCTGTCAATCATTTCTTTGGATGAACCTTGAGTTCTAGTATAATGAGATAGACAGAAAATGTTTTCTCTATCTGGATGATCATGTGGGAAAGAGTTGTATACATTGCCTTATCCACAGGTATTGCAAAACACGTTGAGGGAGAGAAGAGAATGAACCGCCACAAACCAAGAGACACAACAAAAGTCTGGCATGGAACATTTGCCAAAAAAGGATGGTCTGCTTGTTTCATACACTGATGGTGTGATGCAGCCACAAAACAAATTTGGCTGTTTGGGCAAACTACAGACAGTCAGCAGAGACTCTTTCCTTTTTGCATTACTGATCTTCACTTTTGGAAATGCTCAAGAGAAAGTCATTAGATCAGATATTTGTTGCTCGTTAACCAATTTGTTGTTCTCAACACCATGAACACTTGGCTCTTTCTCTGATTTCTTAATCTCCCTTCCCAGGAATGGAAAGCAGCTAAGAATCCTCTGTGAAGACAATAAGTATGATTTCACCCTCCAGGAGACAAGAACCTTGAAAAAGGTCATCATTTTGAAACCTGTATGTTATTCCAGGATACTCCTTTGAGGTGATATTCTAGTTTTTGTTGGGAGCCTCTATGCCTATGCTTTTGACTCTTGATCTGCCTTCTTTTCCAGGGAGATGAATTCCTGGTGGAATGTCTCTATCAGACCCTAGATCGGACAGAGTTGACCTTTGTAAGTTCTTGTTTGGAAGTCAGCTAAGCATAAACATTGTTCCTGCTATATTGGTGTCCCCTCCAGACCCAGTTCCATGGGACAAGTGACATAGGTGCATTTCCATAAAACTGCCCCAATTGCGTCAGAAGTGGAGGGTGGTGAATTCAATTTTTCATACAAACAGGGTGCACAACTGGGGCGGATCCCTTTCCCATTCAGGGCTTTCCACTGTGCCGCCCCCTTTCCCCAAGAGCTACTCTCCCACATCTCATGTGGTCAGGCACTCTAAATTTTTGCTTGTTTATTAAGTTTTGCACCTCTGTGGCCAAGGGACATTTTAAGTAGCTACAGCGGTTTGTGCAGTACATATTCGTAGATCATGAGCCCTTTGCTTTGCAGTTGGGCATCAGCTGTGACTGGTGGATCAAGACCTCCAGTTCTGATGTTCTCTCTTCCTCCCATGGCTTGTGCCAAGCATCCTGAGCTTGTAGTACAGCCAGAAGCCATATGGGACTATGGAGCTCGCACGTGCTGTATAGCACAGCAGACACTCAAAGCCATGCATAGTGAAACATTTCTCAGAGGATGTTCAGTTGTTCCTAAAGTGGCAAAGGGACTTTTACTTACACATTTCCCAAAGGGGGTGCCAGTGGACATGTGATGGGGCAATGGGACCATGATACATTGGCCTCTACCGAGCCCAACCTCACTCTAGGCATTTGATGAAATCCCCTATTAGAAATCCCCAAGTAAACATATGGACTGTTGCAGATACAGGTCCAGGACTATCCCTACCCTTCAAAAGAAATCTAAAGATCATGTGTATTACACAAATATGCATTAGAATGCATTCTACTTGCATCATATTCAGTAGGCACTGCAGAAGAAAGTACAACTATTTGTTGATTTCCAATTATTGTCAATGGGAGGTGTGAAGATTTGAATTTCCAAATCAAGTTTCATATGAAGGACCATTTTGGATCAAATCAGTGGTCCATCTGATGCAGCATTCTGTTTGCAGAATGGCCAGTCAGCTGTCCATGAGATCTTACAACCAGGATATGAATGCAACAGCTTTCTCCCACCCAAGCTCCCCAGAACTGGATATAAATAGGCACACTGCCTCTGATAACTGAACTGGCATATAACCATCAAACTAGTAGCCATTGACAGCTTTCTCCTCCATGCCTGGATGGTCCAGTCCCGCCATCCAAACCGGTGACCAATTGGACTCAAGTCAAGGTGGGCAGCCTCCAAATGAGTCAGGCTGTTTTACAAATCACATAGTCATGGTGCAAGCAGGGTTAGTATTCACTTCTGTTCTTCGTCGTGGCCTCTGTGCATCACACATATGGGTGCTGCGCCTGCGCAGTGCCTTTGGCCGGAAGATTGAAAGCTAACGGTTTTTGGCGGGAAGCTCCGCTCCCCTCCCCCATGGGCTATAAAGAGCGGAGCGTCCGCCATTTATTCAGTCTTTGCGACCGCCGTTCGCTGTGCCTCGTGCCGCTTTCGACCTTCGCTTTGGCCATTCTGGTTCTCTCTTTATATATCGCCCTTAAACTACTTTCCCCTTACTTCGTTCCCCATTTTGTGTAGTTCTCTCTCATTTCTTCTTCGATTCAAAAAAAAAAAAAAAACCAAAAAAATACATACTTACTCTCTGCACTCTCTCTCTTTTCTTCCCCTTTCTGCGATGGCGCAGCGGGTGGCTTTCCGCAAATGTGCTGACTGCTGGTCAAAAATGGCACCTACTGATCCACACGACCTATGCCTCCTCTGCCTTGGGGAAGGGCATAGGACAGATAAGTGTGTTCATTGCCTAGCCTTCTCTAAGCAGGCTAGGAAGAACCGCGAAAACCGGCTTCGGAGGCTCCTTTGGGATAGGGCTCTGATGCAATCAGACCCGCTCATCTCTACCCCAAAACTGGGCTCCGCTTCTGTGGCTCCACCCTCACGCCCTTCGGATGAAGGCGCGTCCGCTTCGCTGGCCCCCTCTGCCTCACCAAAAAAGAGGCATGAGAAGCGCAAACATGCTGAAGACAAGCCGGCAGCCCATAAGAAGGCCAGAAAGGAAAAGGCCTCTAAGCCTCCAAAGAAGGCTAAGCCTACGGATCGTTCCCAAGATCGGGACTCGGAACCGACGGGCCCTTCGGTACCGGTGGCGGTTACGATACCGACCCCGCCCGAACTGATCCTCCAAGAGGCTATGCGGGTCACCCCTCAGGGGTCTCCCCGACGTGTGGTCGACCTCCCGCCAGCACCCCTTCCTACTCTACGGGGGTCTATCTCGGACGGGGAAATTCAGGACTCCCCTCCCAGAGCGAGGTCACCAACACCGATGCCCGCGGTGACATTGGAGACAGAAGCTGGCCTGTTCCCACCAGGGAATCGGAGGAGCCGCTCGGTAGAACAACGCCCAGAGAGTTGGCGTCATCCCTACTGCCAACCTTGGGGAGACCCGCTCTCTGTGGGATACTACCCTGCTCCCAGAGCGCGATCCACACCTCCGCCCAGGGCTGTGGATTCGAGGAGGGTACCGCCTCGATCCCCGCAAAGTGGAAGCAGCCGCTCCTTATCACCGGCGGAGTCATCATCTTCTGCCCCGCCATACTATGGTGCTGATTCGGATGACTCTGACGTAGACTCAACCTCTCCGAACGTCGTGGTGACATCCCAGGATCCTGCATCACCCGATGAGTCACACGTCTCCTTCGCAGAGCTGATGTCGAGGCTTGTCCAGTCCCTGGACATCGACGCTGCCCAGCGCCCGGGACCATCGACGGATAAGTTCTACGACGTCGTCCGCGGGGAGCAATCAACTTCTATCATTCTGCCACTTATAACTACCCTGCGGCAGGCGATGACGCAGCCCTGGGACCTGCCTTCACATCCCCAACTGACGTCCAGGAGATATGAATCTATGTACAGGGTCAGGGAAGAAGACATTCCCTTCCTATTAAAGCACCCAAAACCAAACTCGGCGGTCGTCGAATCCTCGCAAGGCAGGGAGGTGAGGGGACATACGGCGCCGAGAGATAAGGAGGGCCGGAAAATAGATTCCCTGGCCAGACGGGTCTATGTTGCCTCGGGCTTAGGACTTCGCATTTCTAACTATGAGGCGACGTTGGCGCGCTATCAATATTTTATTATGCAGCGCCTCCATAACGTCGCCTCCACCCTCCCAAACCGCCAGGGTGACCTTGCGAAGGTCCTGATCAAAGAAGCCATGCAGGTCGCGGTGCAGCAGTTGTCTACGGCACGTCATCACGTGGACACTGACTCCCGGGCCTTGGTCGGTGCCGTTTCCCTCCGGAGACACGCATGGCTTCGGAGTTGTAATTTCCCGGAGGAAACGAAGCGGTGAATAGAAGAGATGCCCTTTGATGGCTCGGGACTCTTCCATTCACGCACCGACCATAAACTCAAGAAACTACATGAGTCAAGAATGACGGCGCGCAGGATGGAGATCCAGTCACATACCAGACGTAAGTGGTCCTGGAATCGACCATCCTACAGGCAGCCATACCAACAGAGACAGCTACCGCAACCTCGCCAGCAGGAACAGCAGCAGCATCGCCGTCCTCAGCCCCAGCAGCACTTCCAACAGGGCCGCCGTCGCTTTGACGATCGGAGACAGCGCTGACGGGACTGGTGAACCACTCCTCACGCTCCTTTAATACCCACCCCCCTCTCATCTGGGGACCGGCTCCAAAGCTGACTCCCCATTTGGGAGTCCATCACATCTGACCGGTGGGTATTGTCCATCGTTCAATATGGCTATCGAATAGAATTCGACATCGTCCCTCCATCGAGTCCGATCCGGTCTACTTCATGTTCGCCGGTACTTCTCGACGAAATACATCAACTTCTCCTTAAAGGAGCGATTCGTCAAGTATTCCCATCTGACGGACTCCACGGATTCTATTCCAGATACTTTACAGTCCCCAAGCGGGACGGCGGTCTACATCCGATTTTGGATTTACGGGACTTGAATAAGTTTATTATACCGAGGAAGTTCCGTATGACCACCCTTCAAAACATCTTGCCGTTGTTAAGGAGAGGGGATTGGTTCACCTCACTGGACCTGAA